CTAAAGTATAAATAAAGTTAGTTTAGTTTTCCTTCTGTAGTAACGCTGGATCAATAAAAGGTGATCCTTACATTACAGGAGCTGTATGGACAGAAGAAGAACTATCCCGCAAGAACAAAGACACAAAGTAGAATCATACTTACCTAGTGAGAGGGGTTTTGTACACTTTGAGTTACAGCATTTTTCGCTATTCGGACAATCAGCGTCACTATTACAATTCTGAGATCCTTGGTTTCCATTGTTAGGACAGCGACCAGGCCTTACGTCTGAAGAAGATAAAATAAATATAGCTCACATCACTTTGTATTCAAAACTAGAAATGAACGTAGGCAAGTTGCAAAGTCATTCACAGACAAAGTCCGGGTTACTTATTAAATCATGAATGTGTTTTGTCAGTCAGTGATGCAAGACTGTAGGTAGGTTGGTAGGTTGACTGGCCAGTCAGTTCGTTGGTCATTCAGTCAGGCGGTCCATCAGCTGGCTTGTCAGTTAGCCAGTGGATTGGTTGGTTGTTCCGTCGGCTGGTTGTATGTTGGTCAGTTAGTCTGTTTGTCCATCAGCTGGCTTGTCAGTTAGCCAGTGGATTGGTTGGTTGTTCCGTCGGCTGGTTGTATGTTGGTCAGTTAGTCTGTTTGTCCATCAGCTGGCTTGTCAGTTAGCCAGTGGATTGGTTGGTTGTTCCGTCGGCTGGTTGTATGTTGGTCAGTTAGTCTGTTTGTCCATCAGCTGGCTTGTCAGTTAGCCAGTGGATTGGTTGGTTGTTCCGTCGGCTGGTTGTATGTTGGTCAGTTAGTCTGTTTGTCCATCAGCTGGCTTGTCAGTTAGCCAGTGGATTGGTTGGTTGTTCCGTCGGCTGGTTGTATGTTGGTCAGTTAGTCTGTTTGTCCATCAGCTGGCTTGTCAGTTAGCCAGTGGATTGGTTGGTTGTTCCGTCGGCTGGTTGTATGTTGGTCAGTTAGTCTGTTTGTCCATCAGCTGGCTTGTCAGTTAGCCAGTGGATTGGTTGGTTGTTCCGTCGGCTGGTTGTATGTTGGTCAGTTAGTCTGTTTGTCCATCAGCTGGCTTGTCAGTTAGCCAGTGGATTGGTTGGTTGTTCCGTCGGCTGGTTGTATGTTGGTCAGTTAGTCTGTTTGTCCATCAGCTGGCTTGTCAGTTAGCCAGTGGATTGGTTGGTTGTTCCGTCGGCTGGTTGTATGTTGGTCAGTTAGTCTGTTTGTCCATCAGCTGGCTTGTCAGTTAGCCAGTGGGTTGGACAATCAGTCAGTGGGTTGGACGGTCAGTGGGTTGGACGGTCAGACGGTGGATCAGTCGGTCGGTCGGTCGGTGGGTTGGTCGGTCAATCAGTGGGTTGGTGGGTCAGTCGGTGGATTGGTCAGTCAGTCAGTGGGTTGGTCGATAACACACTACAAACAAACCTTGCGAGCATTCGCGAACTCTGAAGCTACTGTAGTAGCCACTGGCACATCCCCACAAGTATCTCTCTTTCACGGCACACGACATCCAGTCATTGCACGGACAGCGCCATGTGTAGCCCACGATATCTCGACAATACAACCCGCAGGTCGAGTTCTCCCGCACTTCATTGTATCCAGGTGGGCACTGGGGAGGTGCATCAATTTGTGGACATGATCTGGATGGGATACAAGTAAAGTTGCTTCCCTTTCGAGGGAAAGAAAACGTGTAGTGTAGTCTTTGCTCTGAAATCAAAATTGAAGACAAATTAGTTTTGGTTATTGCTATAAACCCATTAAGGCACGTTTGAGATATCTTTTTCAGGTAGTTCAGACACAAACCATGACAGCTTATTGTAGAATACTATCTACACTGGACCACCACATTTGAGATATCTTTTTCAGGTAGTTCAGACACAAATCACGATAGGTTAATGTAGAATACTACCTACACTGGACCACCAGTTTGAGATATCTTTTTCAGGTAGTTCAGACACAAACCACAACAGTTTAATAGACAGATTTAGATCGAGCACGTCAAAGACGACGTGAAAATGGCGTCAAAATGGCGTGGCATATCCATACATGGGCACAACACGCCATTTTCACGTCGTTTTGACGTCCGCGTCCTCGATCTAAATCTGTCTATTGTAGAATACTATCTACAGTGGACCACCAGGTTCGAGATATCTTTTTCAGGCAGTTCAGACACAAATCACGGCAACTTATTGTAGAATACTACCTACAGTGGACCAACACGTTCGAGATATCTTTTTCATGTAGTTCAGACACAAATCACGGCAGCTTATCGTAGAATGCAACCTACACTGGACCACCACGTTTGAGATATCTTTTTCAGGTAGTTCAGACACAAATCACGGCAGCTTATTGCTGCCGAGCGTAGCGAGGCAGCACACTATTCTTGACACGCGGTAGTTTCTCCAGAGTCCACTCGACCCAGTCTTTCGCGCGAGTTATGTATTGTCGAGATCGAGATCTTGTGTCTGTCTGTAAAGATGTTTGTCGTAATCCGGGGGGAATAATTAAGCTTCAGGAACGTTTGTTAAATGAGGGGAGCGGTCAAAACATTAAGATTTTCAAACTTTTAAATACGGATGCAAGACAACAAGCGATCAAAAATATTCGGAAACATTCAGGTAAGTTCGGCTCTATTTTTTTCTTCTTATATACATCAAGGCAATGACCTTTTTAGTGTTCAATCTAGAGGCAAACAATGTGCTTTTATGAGTTTATCAGCACTTTTAACTGCCCAAAATATACCACTGATCGATTGGTCAAAAACAACATTTAATCGTCTTATTAATACAAGGAGACAAAATGTACTTGCAAGCTCTGGATAATGGCTTTGTTGTCTTAGAAACTGCCCAAAATATACCACTGATCGATTGGTCAAAAATAACATTTATAAATAATGTCTAATTACAAGGAGACAAAATGTACTTGCAAGCTCTGAATGATGGCTTTGTTGTCTTAGAACCTGGTGTCGAATTCTTATCTGTCGATAATTTACCTAAACTTGTCAGTGTTTCAAGTTGTATACAAACATGTTTCTTACAAGATATGTGATTCTGTGATCGACACAAGTAATATACCACATGTAGTGTATGCAAAAACAACTACAACACCTGTGAATCATTTTGATACACAAAATAATGATACTATAAACAGTCTGCCCATGGTGGTAGGACAAAATAATAGCATTCTACACCCATTGTAGTAGAGTCCATTGAGGCAAAAAATATCATTGATCTGCCCATTGTGGTAGAGCCCATTCAAGGCAAAAACTATAGATCTGCCCAATGTGGTAGAGCCCATTGAGGCAAAAACTATAGATCTGCCCATTGTGGTAGAGCCCATCGAGACAAAAACTATAGATCTGTCCATTGTGGTATCTAGAGCCCATTGAGGCAAAAACTATTGATCTGCCTGTGGTAGAGCCCATTGAGGCACCAACTATCAGCGATCTGCCCATTGCGATGGAGCCCATTGAGGCACCAACTATCAGACTAGGGGTCAACCAGGGGGGGGGGGGTCGTGGTATCCTAAATAGCTGATAAATATGGATCAAAATACCTATTATTATGGTCAAAATGTTACATAATACCTAAAGCAATCAGAAGCTGTATACCAGACCTAATACCCAAAATTAGTCATAACATTTAAAGTAAATATACAGTATACTCGAATTAATTAAATACCATTAAATCCTATATACACAAAACCCTATGGCCGACCCTACAGACTGCTCTGCCCATTGTGGTGGAGCCCATTGAGGCACCAACTATCAGTGATCTGCCATTATGTGCAAAGACGATGAGTTTATAGTGTTCCATTTCTAGATGTTTATAGCTTTAAACAAATGTGGAATGTTGCTAAATCAGGCTTAATATTAAAGATTCCTAGAGCAACCCAGTGTGGATTATATATTGTCTGCACATATATTGACTTACCAGCAAGTACATGTAATATTACTAACATTTTAACTGACTTTTGTATAAGATCTGAGATATGTCCATTGTTAGCATAATATGAAATAATTCTAGTGGCCTACATATGGCTGTGTCACTACGATAATGCTCACAATTTCTTTCTTATATATTTTTTCAGATCTGACTGAGTACAGTAGTGGTGTCATCTGAAGCATATTAAACAGAAATGTCATCAAATACATTTTGTCTGCCCATCGGCAGATTGTTCGGTTGGTCTGTGATAGGGGAAGCCATGAAGGTGGCATTACATGTAAAACGATAATTGGAACAAAAACCGACTTTTTAGTATTTTTATATAAACAATATTGTTCTGTATTCAGTGGCAAGCTCACACATGTGACCACCAAGTTTATACTTTATAGTGCACTTTTTATAAGATGAGATGTAAGATACAACCAGGGATGCCGGAACTGGGGGGGGCAGGAAGGGCAGCCGCCCCCGTTGCCCTTTACCAGGAGGGGCAAGGGGGGGCAAAGGTGTCCTTTCAATTTAAAGGATTGCCTTGGCAAAATAGCGAATTGTCAGAAATGTTAGTGGAATTCTTTTACAAATTTGCTTCAGAAAACGCAAGAATTGCAGTCATCGAGCTTCAGGAATGGCACAATCGCCTGGCGGAGAGAACCCCCTCACACCCCTATCATCCAATCAATAGAAAACATGATTAGGCGAAGTTCAACTCCCGATGTTTTGCAAACATCTCTTAGTATATATCAATTCAAAAGTGCCCTTTCACGAAAATCTGCCACCCTTGCCTTCACGTCGTTCCGGCATCCCTGGATACAATTGTAGAAGGTAATTGATGTACAATATGTGTAAGACATTAAATCATACATACAGTGAAAAAGACACTTTTTGGTTGTAGTACATCCTGCATGTACATATCGGCAGCATTTGGCTTGCGATAGTAACTCCTAGTTGTAGAATACTATCTACACTGGACCAACACGTTCGAGATATCTTTTTCAGTAGTTCAGACACAAATCACGGCAGCTTATTGTAGAATACTATCTACACTGGACCACCACGTTCGAGATATCTTTTTCAGGTAGTTCAGATACAAATCACGGCAGCTTATCGTAGAATGCAACCTACACTGGACCACCACGTTTGAGATATCTTTTTCAGGTAGTTCAGACACAAACCACGACAGCTTATTGTAGAATACTACCTACACTGGACCACCACGTTTGAGATATCTTTTTCAGGTAGTTCAGACACAAACTACGACAGCTTATTGTAGAATACTACCTACACCACCACGTTTGAGATATATTTTGTGATACATGCACTTACGTTGTTTTGGTATGGCACTATATGCGTGGATATCCATTGGTTTGCCAAGGTTAGCCGTCATTAACACGACATTAGCCCCAGTGTTCACGCCAGCACGATAGACTGCATCAGTTTGCCAATCGGTCCAGTAGATGTGTTCGTTTAGTAATGTTAGGCCAAAGGGGTGGTTCACTTTAGTGGATAAACCAAACAGGAAGCCAACTGAATAAAAGAAAATCAATGCAAGTGTTTGAAAACGTGTAATATGTAATGAAACTCTGTGATTGGGTATTGACCACTGCAATATACGGTTGTGCGGATGTAGCTTGTTACGAGTTAGAGTACTGGCTGTCCATTGGCTATGATTGCAAATGAAAAGAGTGGTACCAGATCGACACCTTCTATACGAGCAACAAGGCATGGCTAAAGCTGGACCTCTAGGAAGAACAGTTTAGAACTGATAGAGCTATCCAGTATAAATAAAGTTAGTTTAGTTTAGGTTTCCTTCTGTAGTAACACTGGATCAATAAGAGATGATCCTCACTGGAGCTCTAGGAAGAACAGCTTAGAACTGATGGAACTATCCAGTATCCAGTATAAATAAAGTTAGTTTAGTTTAGGTTACCTCCTGTAGTAACACTAGATCAATAAGAGGCGACACTTAATGGACCTCTAGGAAGAACAGCTTTGAACTAATAGAGGTATGAAGCTATCCAGCGTATAGAAAGACTTATTGTTTAACAGTACTTACAAATTAGTAATTTCTGGTTGAGGATAACTTTTCGTTGAAGAGTCGTGAGGTCCATAGCTTCTATGTTGTCCTCATAAGCGTCGGCCCAGTAGAGCTTGTTATAGACGTGATCAATTGTGAGACCATTGGGCCAACGAAGCGTGTGGTTCACCAAATCCATTCTGTTTTCGCCGTTCATGTACGCACGTTCGATTCTTGGAAATTTACCCCAATCAGTCCAGTACATATAACTGAAACATATAATAAAATTAAACAATATTTGTTAGCGCATTCGAAGCAGGGCTTTAAAAATAAGCCGCCAGGTGCCACGTAAGAATCACCGCCGGTTACTTTGTTTAGTACTTGAAATATCAATTCTGCTCTCCTTCCTCCACTCGAAGCTTTCAAACAGAGTTATTTTTCCACAACCTAGTCTACTTTATACCCTGCTGGCAGTGGTTTCTGAGCTAGAAACCACTGCCAGCAAGGTATCTACTTTATAGCTTGGGTTTTGTTGGGAAGATGACGTTCTATTTCGTAAAACTGATTTAGTTATTTGCCATCTTAAAGTTATCTTGTTGAAGAATAAAAGTAGTGACAATTTCTAATTTGGTTACAGAACTCAGTTCTGTTGCTATATAAATGACTTAGATTCTTGCACTTCACTTGGTGGAATTAATATTAGGATGTTAGGGTTTGTAATCCAAGTGAGAATATATACATCTAAGTCATTTAATCCGCCTTATCACAACCCGCACACCCGATTACCTATATACAGGGTGTATCAAAAAAAACTGAACAGATTTAAAATTGCTCTCAATTTCGCAAAACAGCTATTTGTATCTGGTTTTTTATATATATAGCTTCTTTGGGTACTTATAATGTAAAATAATGAAAAAAATTTCTCGAACTCAAATTTTGTGAACCAGGGGGGTGTGTCTTTTCCAACAAACTAAAAATGGGTCGCGCACAAAATTTAAAAGCTGCAATCATATTTTGAGTTAACAGATGGAAAATTTGTCGGGATTTTAATTACTGTACAAAATTTCAGACAATTTGGTTTAGTTTAAGCCCCTTAACTATTCACGCAAAGTTACAATTTTCCCGAAAAATCAGCTATTTGCATGCTTAATTAATGCATTGCCTAATTTGCATATGTCAGCAATATGCAAATTAGGTAAA